AAGAAGGACGTATTTGTCGGCCGCATCGGAGGAGTCTTCGGTTTTGGCCGTCCTTCGTCGCGGCGCTGTGACGTATGAGGACGATGAATTGGACCTTCGGAGGACCCGTCCTGCCGGTTTGGACACAGCGTTGATGTGACGGTCTTGTGATGACTCAGCACTTTTCTAACCACTTCAAGACTTTCTGAAGGATCAGTTGTGACCAAACACCTTCCTGCTACAGGAGTTTGAAGTATTTTTGCCTGAATTAACCAAACAGATCCTTGTTTTCATCAGATCCTCCAGGATCTTTTCTAACCCTTTCAGGATTACAGAGTAAACTGTTGTTGTCTTTTTTAAAATGATCAACACGTCTGAGCATAAAAGGACCATTTGAAGATGTTGATTGTTGCTACAGTTTCCCATCAGGCCTTTAGATGTGGTGAGGATGATGATCACATCAACAGAAGCTGAGCTGTGAGCTAAAATAAGGAGTTAGATAATATTCAGCTTCAGTAATAAAACCCTGATTGGTTGTGAGTCTCTCAGTATGAAGCATCAGRCCTGAGCTGCAGAGGTGACGTTACCAAGGTTTCCTCACGGTGAAACTCTGATTCTTTGCACAGATTTTCAGTTAAAAAAGAAAGTCTTGACTGGGACACCCTCAGATGTCTTCTTTGTCTGTGTGGAAGTGAAGAGTCTCAGGTTCTCCTGCAGACTGACGGGTCCAAACCAGCACTGGAAGACTTTTACAACCAGATTCACTTCACTCAATTCAAACACATTATTCAGACTTTATTCAACCAAAGTTAAACTAATGTAGGACTTGTGCAGTAAACTTCACCATCAGTGCACCACAGGTGATGTTCATCCTCTCATTATTACACTACATTTCCTTTATTTAGCATTTAAGTTACTTGTTTAATAAATTGGTTTTAATGCTTTTAATTTAGTCTCTGCTGCTGTTTAAAGCACTTTCCTTAAAGACAGCAATAAAGTACATTTCTATTGTCTATTAGCTCTTTACTGTGTATAACTGCAGAGCTACACTGTTTTCTGTGATATTTCATGATCTACAGCAGAATTCTTGGTTCAGGCATCTTCCAGAGCTCTGTTGGACCCGACGTCACGTTAACATCCATCACAGAAATCACCAAAACGATTGTTAGGATGAAAACTTTTAAAAGGTGTTTTAAAACCACTGAGAACAAATAAAACATGCAAAAACCATGAGACAGTACACACTACACACTCACACATCATCTGCAGAGTTAGTGGTTCAGAGAGTTGTTATGGTCGTGCGCCTGGAGTGATGTTCACACTTACCATTWCTCCTCAGCAGTTTTTGATTTTTAGTGACTAAAACAAAGTGACCAACCCAGTGTGAAGCCAAACATGCACGAAGAGCCACAGACAGTAAAATGCATCCATCTTTTCAAATCATTTAATCTGTTTTTTTTTTTAGATTTAAGACATATTAAATCAAACTGTTAAATACTAATTATGTCCATAAYTAACTTACTGGATATTTTAAAACAGATTATTATCTGAATTAAAGATTTAAAGCTTTTTGTTGTAATAAAAAAACTTTTAAAGTATTTTTTCCACTGTTTCTTAATGATCAATCATGTAATTAATAAATTCATAGGAACAGTTAGCAGGTTAATGAAAATCCCTTTTATTTGGAGCTAAACTGAAAAAAATCAAAAKTATCACACAATAATTTATAAAAAGTGTTGGAGAAAGATTAAAAACTACATGTGAGGTCCAAGCATCTACTAGAACTAMTAGTTTTATAATATTTCTGTGTAAAACTGAAGACTTGAGCATCAAAATGAGTAGATTTGAAATGTCTTGTGATTAAATGATCTGTTCAGAGGACCTGTTCTTACTGCAGCTTTGTTAGTGCACACTGCTGACTGCTGGCTTTAAAACACACAGTTAGCTCCTGGTTCTTTGGCTCTTACCACATTTGGAGGATTTACTGGGCAAAGAAGCAGAGCGCTGAGAGCCATCTGAGGGCAGAGGACAGGGTCAGAAACAACATGGCCGCCTCCCCCACACCACCACTCCCCCTACATGGTTAACTCGAGACATGAGGGTTTTTTAAATCCGTTCCAACACAACTGCTCCTAAACTACACACAGTTTGAAYACATTACTTAGAAAAAATACTAAGTGCAGTTATGGGCCATCATTAGGGCACACAGACTCTGGGTGTCTGCCTTTCTCTGGACAGACTAGTTCAAAAACCTTTTGTGAAAAGCTTCTAAAATGGAAACATCTCATCACAAGATATTTACCCAGAAGACAGGCTGCAACATGAAATAAACTCACCAACAAAACAGTAAAGAACCCAGAAGAAATGGTGTAATTTGGARGTTATTTATCTGGCTTGCAGACCAACAACAACAGTATTATATTAGTTTAAACTGATCTACAACAATGTTAAAGTTTATCACAATAACTTCAGAGACAATTTATTGTCCAGTAAAATTTGTTATTGGGACATGCCTAACCATCACTACCATCACTACCATCATCACCATCATCACTACCATCATCACCATCATCACTACCATCACTACCATCATCACTACCATCATCACTACCATCATCACTACCATCATCACTACCATCATCACTACCATCATCACTACCATCATCACTACCATCATCACTACCACCATCACTACATCACTACCACCATCACTAC